CACATCCTATGCTCCATTTGGGACCATCTGCTATATGACCTCAGGGCCCAAACTCAACCCAGGCCCCTGCAGTAGCCACTGCTCTGAGCCAGGATGTGAGAACACAGAGTGAGGAAAGCTCCCTCCCTACTTGGTGGGTGTGTCAGGCCTAGAGAGAGGCTCCCCCCAACACACCTATTTAGGCCTCCTGCCATCCCTGCCCACCCCCCCCCACACACACACACCGTGTGAGCTTTCCAGCATGGGACACAAAGGCCCCTTTCATCACCCTCCCTGCTTCCCCTCCTTCACTGCCTGGGGCTGGTGGAGGCAGGCAGGGCAAGGTGGGCAGATGGCTGTTGGTGAGGAGTGTCCTCTCCGCCATAGCCTCCCCCACCTCTTGTGGGCCACCAAGGAGGCTGGGAACAGAGATGCTTACACAACTGGGGCCAAGGGGGCCAAGGCAATCTGGCTGACAATGCAAAACTGAGTCTCAGGGCTTGGGTGTCCTCTGTAAAGCGGGTAAAAGGGGGTTACAGACACAACAGAGGCCAAAGTAATTCTGGAAGGCATAGCCTGGTGTAAGGAAACTCACACCGTGTCATTAATGACCGCTAGTAATAATAGCAGTAAACTCACGCAGAAGCGGGTAAGCAGGGGAGAGCAGGTTAACTGGACCTCGTGGCCTGGCTGACAAGGAGGAACAGGGTCCCACACACATCACTGCCCTGGTCCACAACTTTCAACAGTCTAGAAGATGGCCCCACCTCTATGCCCCATCGCAGCCGGGTCCTCAGCTTTACCAAGCTCTGCACAGCTAATAAATGGTGGGTCTGCCACTTAGCTATATCCACTTAGCAGGCTAGATGCTTAATATGTGCAAGCTGTTATCATTCAGGTATTCCTCTTTATATAAAGGCATGTTTTCTTTATTTGAGACAGAGCTATATGGCTAACTTGTGTGAACTCCCACGATCCAAAATCAGCAACTCTATGTATTCAGAGGCATTTGAGGCAGACAAAGCTGGTATCCCTCAGTCTCCAAAACCCTCTGTATTTGCTGTCCAGACCTGGAAGCCTTGTGCTTGCCAAATCGGAGGTATTTGCAACAGAGCTGTTTTCCCTCATTATCTGACCTCTCCCTACTCACCACTAAGATGGCGGGAACCAAATACATTCAGACATGTGGTCTCAAGTCTCACTATCTAAATCCAAGAACTGAATGGACTTTGATATATTTCTGAGCTAGAACTGGTACCCTCTCTCTTGTGCATACCTTAGTGACCGGGCAAAATGCAGGAACCCAATATATGTACCCAACAGGGTGCCCTCACTAGCCCAACTTCTTGTCCCTGGGGATCAGGAGACTTAACAGCAGAGATCTGGACACATTTCTGAGCTAGAGCATTATCTGAACTTTCCCTAGTCATTATGTAAGAGATGACAACTGAAGACTTTCAGGTAACTTGGTATGTTTCAATATTTGAACTTCCAGAACTCCCTCTCAGAACACAGGTGCCAGGTAGATTGAGACAGTGAAGAATACCTGTGTGTTATACATAGGTTTGGATAAAGGCTTTGGGTAAATAAGATGGATCTAGTACCTTGTTATTTGAGCTCACTACTCTTCTATGAAAAATGTAAGCTTGAGGCCAGTGATGTGGTGCAGCAGGTTAAGCCTCCACCTACAGCACCAGCACCCCATTTGGGTGCTGGTTCGAGTCCCAGCTGCTCCCTCCTGATATGCCTGGGAAAGCAGTGGAGGATGGCCCGAGTCCTTGGGCCCCTGCACCCACATGAGAGACCTGAAAGAAGTTCCTGGCTCCTGGCTTCAGCCTGGCTCAGCCCTGGCCATTGCGGCCATTTAGGAAGTAAACTAGCAGATATAAGATATCTCTCTCACTCTTTCTCTCTCTCTTTCTGCCTTTCAAATCTTTATTAAGATTTATCTATTTATTTGAAAGGCAGAGCTATAGAGAGGCAGAGGTAGAGAGGTCTTCCATCCGCTGGTTCACTCCCCAAATGGCTGCAATGTCCGGAGCTGCGCTGATAC